GATTCTGTATTCTTTCTTGAATGACTGTAGGGGACACAGTTACACTGGCAACGACCCTGGATTTCATGTATTCAACCTTGGTACATTTCCTGCATATACAGAGATATAGAGAGAAATGCTAAGTCTTCAGGAAGTCAGAAAGGGGAAAACTACTCACAACAGTAGGTAGAATTAGCTCTGTAAGGTTGGTAAGATGACCTATGGATGACCAAACATCTGATTTTCAGGGATTTTGTCTGCCTCACTTGCTCCTACAGATATGAGATGATGAAGCCTGTATATGTGTCCTATCTCCCTGATTTCTGGAACTCTTGAGAATGAGACTTTCATTTGTATTATAAATTGATGCTATCTTTGTTTTATGTTTATTAGCCAAATTCTCAAGGGAGCATAAAAAATTGTGGAGGACTAAGAGGTTAATGACTAGAACCTTCTAAGAGTTTTATTGAATAAATTTATTATAATGTACTTTTTGTATTAAGTAACTATTCTCTTTATTAATAACAATAACATACTTATGCATTGCACAGCAAACATCTGTTGCAAAGGTAATTTGTAAGAATATTTATTATAAAGCAGAAATTTAATTAAACAGTTATTGTGTATTCACTAGGCTCTGAGGATATTCAATTCAATTCAGTAAAGATATATTAAGTGCTTACTATGTACCTGGTACTATGCTAAGTGCTGGGTGTACATAAAGAGACAAAAGACAAGCTCTACCTTCAAGGAGCTTGCAATGTAATGGGAGTATAAAGAAAAAAAACCCTGAAGTCTCCATATTCAAGGATCTTTAATTCTAGTGGAGGAATAAAACATGTAAGTAAATAATGCCTGCATATGTACATACATACACATATATGTTCATACATAGGTTTTCTACCTGGAAATCTGTGTCTGTCTCTCTCTGCTTCTCTCTTTCTCTATCTATTCTGTCTCTCTTTTATATATGAAGTAGAAGAAGAAGTGTGGTATAGTCAGAAGAGATCCACCCTCAGAGCCAGGAAAACCTGAGTCCAGGTCCTTGATGCATATTGGCTGTATGATCCTGGGCGAGTCACTTAATCTCTTGCTTTAGGCGACTCTCTAAGACTCTAAATTGCAGAGAAGATGTTTATCTATATTGGTAGGGGCAGTTTTCTCACCTAGGAGTTCTCAATACTAATGAAATGATAGGTCTAGTCCCTATCTCCATATAAAGTACACAAAGGTAGTATCACATAGATTCACACAGATACATGCACATATGAGTTACATCTGCAAAGCAGTTTTTTTTAAGGCAATTAGGGTTAAGTGACTTGCCCAGGGTCACACAGCTAGTAAATGTCAAGTGTTTGGTCTGAGGCCAGATTTGAAGTTAGGTCCTCCTGACTTCAGGACGGGTGCTTTATCCCCTGCACCACCTAGCTGTCCCTTTGCAAAGCAGTTTTAAGGAGAGAATGCTACCAACTTGGGGGCAGTTCAGGAAAGATTTCAGGTAGGAGGTAGCCCCTGAGTTAAAGCAAGCTAGGGATTCTATGAGGTAAAAGTGAGGAGGGAATGCATTAAAAACATGGGAGACCACTTGTACTATATAATGATCATAGATAATGGAATATAGTGGATGCAGTTTATTAACAAACCAGTTTGACAGGAGTAGAAAATGAAGAAAAAACGAACAAAATAAAGTTGAAAATGCATCTGGGAATCATATTGTGAAAGGCTAAGGATAGCATATTTCATATTAGATGAAATAGTGAGCCATTGTAGATTTTTGGATGTGTGTGTAAGGGTGAGGTGGGGTGGAATATGAAAGATTGGTCTGTGTTTTAGTAATATCAAGATTTAAGTGTTTGGTTTTTAACCTGAAGTTACAGCATAATGACTTTGAAAGGCTCCTTATATCAAGATCAGTTTTAGTTTAGTTCAGGAAACTTTCTTGGTCATCAATAAGTTAATACAGTTGTAATTTATTAAACCAGTAATTTATTAAATGTACACTAATGGCTTCCAAGAATCAAATCTCTTTGGAATCTGCTCAAAGTTTGACTCATTTTTCAGATCTGTTCCATTATTGAAGTTTAATTACATTGTATTGGAAAATACAACAGAATTTGTTTTCTGCTTATACAATCTCAAATACTTTAACAGAGATCCCATAAAGAATGATTTACTTTTGAGTAAATATCTGTGTGTTCATTCCTAGTAGAAATAGGCTGTCCAGAAGTGGTAGATACATCTCAACAGTGTTGTCAATGGTCATTTTATGTACTCACTATGGGTTAGGAATGGTGAGTACTCAGGTGGAATGAATAATAATTCTAGTGAGGAGAAAAAAAGGGGATTGTCTGAAAAGACTGATGAAAATGCCTAGAGAACTCATAAAAAATCCTTAAACTTGACAAAAGATATTTCCAGAAGATGTAAGACACGGCAGGTAACAGGATGAAGATAGCTGTGGCACGGTGCTACAAAAATAGTGTCAGGAATACTAAATTGAGAATGAAATGAGTTTGACAATAGGAACTGAGAACAAGTCAGCTGTTTGAGGGAAAGTAGGAGGATTAAAGAAAAGATAGAACTGCTGTTCAAGGTAGATAGAATAATGATAATTGACAATAGAAAGAAAGCAGATCTTTCTAATTCTTATTTTGCTTCTGTTTTCTCTTCCCAGGAAAATGACATCTGCACAGGTGAAGAACAGAATCAAAATGGCTAACTAGGATTTGGTGCTCAAGATAAATATGGATAATAAGAGAGCATCTAGCTTTTCAAATGATCTGACTCTGATGGACTGTATCTTTGGATCCTGAAAGAACTGACAAATAGGATAGCTGAGCCAATATTGGTGATATTTGAAAGATCATGGAGAATGGGAGAGGTAAGATGGTACTGGAGAAGGTCAAATCTTATTTTATTTTTTTCCAAAAAGGGAGTAGATTGTAAACAGCAGACTGTTGAGCTTTGAATCCTAGAAAAATTCTAGAATATACTCCTCAAGAGTTGGTTAGTGAATACCTAGAAAAGGAAATGGTGTCACATGGCTTCCACAAGTACAAATCATGCCAGATTGACCAAATTTAATTTTTTGACAACCAGGAGAGCAACCAGGATGTTGAAGAGTTATGTTGTAGAGGCTCAGTTGAAGGAACTCAGGTTATTCATTTGACTTATAGAAAAGCCAACTCAAGAGGATCATTACAGTTGTCTTCAAATTGTTATTTAATTGTGGCTTCAAATACTGAAATACTATAATGGACATGAGGGATTAGGCTCCTTTGATGTTTTCTCATAGGGTTTCTAAATTGGTAGATGTAGGGAATGCAGCAGATTTAGTTTACCTAGCATGTATAAAGATTACAAAGCATTTATAAAAGGATCACGTATTATTCTTGTGGAAAAAGAGATATAGATGGGCTAGAGAATAGTAGGTTGAGACTCAGTGAGTAGTGATGAAGAAAGTCTCCAATGGAGTGTTCCAGGCATATGAGTTTGATCCTGGGCTAGTTTTATTAGCAAACTGGATAAAGGCAAAGATAGCATCCTTATTTGAGATGACACAGAGCTGGGAAGGATTGCTATTGCACTTAATAACAGCTTAATAACAATGCATAACTTAATGACAATAAAAGACATTGATAGGCTAGAACAGGGTTCCCATCCCTTTTCAGTCTCATGCGCCTGGGCTTTCAGTAAATCTTTTCATAATTGCTATTTAATAGGAAGAGAAATAAATTGTAAACTTTACCATGCATACACACTTAAGAAACAAAATAAAGAACTCAGTTAATTTCAAGAGAGTAATAGAATGTATTTGCCAAATATTCTCTATACCTTCTTGATCAGCTTCTTGATGCTTTTGTGGGTAATGTGTCCAAGATTAGGAATGCTTGCCCTAGACCAATGAGCTGAATCAAAGGAAATAAAAATTGATAGGGATAAATGTATAGTTTTCAACTCTGGTTCAAGAAATAAAAAAACATAGGACTGAGATGGGAAATTCATGGCTAGAAGAGTTCTCATTTCAGTTTTTCTGAAAGAGATTTGAGGATTTGAGTGGAATGATATCTCATTATGCATTAAGAGTGTGATATGGTAGTCAAAAATGCTAATGTAATCTTGGGTCACATTAAGAGAGATATTACTTTTAGGAATTTGGAGGGGATAATCCTGTTGTACCCTCTGTGGCCACACTACCTCTGGGATCTTATATTTAGTTTTAGGTACTATGTTTTAGGAAGAATATTGATAAATTGGAAAGCATATCAAGTAGAGAGACCAGGATGTTGAAGAACCATGCTATATGAGGCTCAGCTGAAGCTTTTTGTTTATTTAGCTTTTAGAAAAGCCAACTCAGGAGGATCGTTATAGGTATCTTCAAATACTGAAGTGCTGTCATGGGGAAGAGAGGTTAGGCTTATTCTTTTTTGCTCCAAAGGGCACAACTAGGATCAGTGGGTGAAGTTGCAAAGGAGATTTTGACTTCATGTAAGGAGAAACTTCCTAAGGAGGGCTATTTCAAAGTGGAATGTGTAATGTTATAGGTTAGTGTGTGGCTGCATAATGGATTGAATCATAAATCTGTGCCCCAACTCATGTGCCACCTTCTACAGGGAGCCTTTCTTGACCTCCCTTAGTTATTAGTGTTCTCCTTCCTCTTTATCTTACACTATCTGGGTAAACATTTTATCATACTACTATCACCCAGCAGAATATAAACTCACTGAGTATAGGAGCTGGTTTTATTTTCTTGTCTTTGTATTCCCGATCCCTTCAAAATACCTTGTGCTTAGTAATACTTAATATATGTTACCTGGATTGGAAAATATCAGAAAATCTAAGGGACCAAGTCTCTCTATCTCTTCTCTTGGTGTCTCCAAGTCTCTCTGTCTACTCCTCAACAATCAACTCATTAACAAGTATTTATTAAGGGTCTGCTTATTAAGGGTCATATGAGGCTTAACTGAAGGGACTGTGTAAAAAAGTGAAAGGTCATTTCTCATTTCTTATCCTAGGTGCCCACATTCCTGATTATGATTCAACAGGGGTTAAATCCATGCCCCAAGTAAGTAGTGATGTACAGCACTGCTTTTTGGCTTTATGATAGGCTCATAATAGAAAATAGATGTTATCTTCTCCATCTGTTCCTATCCATCTACCCATTTTGAGCTCAAATCTTATCTCCTTGGTGAAATCATAATTGATGAACACCAGCGCATATTGATTGTTCCTGTTTCTAAGTACTTTTGTACTTATGACCTCTACTATTCTATTTGGCAACTTTTAAAAACTGGCTCTATGTTGCATAATTTAGCACTTTATTATAATAATACGTATTGAATATTTTAGTCTGTCACCCAATTTATCATATCACCATCATCCATCATCTCCATCAATTATCTATTTATCTGTGTCTGTCTGTCTGCCAATCTATCTATCTATCTGTCTGTCTGTCTATATCTTGTTCCCTGTTTTATGCTTGTTTCTTAACTCTCCAACCAGATGGTATGGACTATAGCATACTCACTCATTCACTCTCTCATTCATTCATTCATTCATTCATTCATATAAACAAATGAATATTTAGATAATGAGGTACCATTGGAAGATTCTAAATAAGGAATTGATGTGTGACAAATATTAGATATAAGTCAGGCACGTATAAGATGAATTGGATGGGAGAGAGGCTGAAAGCAGGGGAATTATCTTTCCAGTCCAAATGAGAACTGGTGAGTGTATGAACTGGGGAAGTGACCACAGGAATGGTAAGAAGGGAGTTGGATATGCTCTCATATTCAACTTTGAAGATAGATTTGGAGATATATACAATCAGTGGGATTTATGAAGTGACAGAGGGAACAGTCAAAGATTACTGGGCAATTATGAACCTAAGTGACTAGGAGGAATGGTATCATGGACAGGGATAGGGAAGTCAGGAAGAGGAATAGGTTTTAGAGGAAAGATAATTAACTTCATTTTGATCATATCAGTTTGAAGGGCATACATGACATACACATGTATATGTGTATACACACAGCACACATATATTGCATATATGTATAATATAGATGTAATGTGTGTTTGTATACACACACACACACATCTCTCTATGTATTTATCTCCAAAATGTAGTTAGAGATGCAAGTCCAAAAATTAGTACAAACACATAAATATGATCACAGTTGAAGCTATGGGAGTAGATGGAGTCATTAGAAAGAGGGTACATAGAGAGAGAGACAAAAAGAAGGCCAAGAATGGAGCTTTGGCAAACACATTTAAAGGGAGCAGAGAGAGAAAGAGGAGACAGGTAAATACATGATGTGTGCTCAGTAAATCATAGCTGGAAGGGACATACTTGTTGACTAGTTAATGCTTTATCTCCATTGTTTGTGTTACTCCAGTGTGTGATTGCGTTTGTCTAGATTCTTGTAAGCTTGGTTCTTGCCACTCTCATTCATTACTTATGCTTCATTGTCATTATGCAGTAGAGAACTAATGCACTGAATCTAAGCACTTATGGCTGAGTTGCCTACTCAAGTCAAATCATCAAGTATTTATTAAGTGGCATCAGCATCTTGTGCGTGACCAAAGTGCAATCTCTGCAAGCAATCTTCAGAGAGTGGCAATGATCATTTCAGTGGAACTACCTTAGTAAGGATATGTATTGTGATGTTACTGTCATAATTTTGTAGTTAAATTTGTGAATTCAGCACAGGAGGTGATTTATTTCTCCTAAATTATTTTCTCTTCAAATAAGATAAACTCCTACCAGGTAAATGATAGTTCTTTGGGTGTGGCCTTGTGTATGAATAATATCCAGGTTTTAGGCATAAGTGTGATTAACTAAAAATGAGATTAGGACTTCTTTTCACTTATTCCTTTAAAATATGATATAGGTTTAGGGAAAGATTTAAAGAAAAACCTGCTTTTAACTTGCTACCTTTAACTGTTATCAATCACTGCTTAATTTATATTTCTTTCTCCTTTTTTGGTGGGGGGGGGAGGAGAAGGGAAGAGCTTGTGTTGTATAAACTGCATCTTTCTAATTCTGAATCTATACCTTATGAGCAGAAGTCTTCTAGAATAGCTTCTGGAATTTGTCAGGTTGGTGCCCAAACCTTTTCAGATGGTTTATCCTGAAACGTTGGCAGATTTTCTCTACCTAAAACACAGTCCTTTCACTCTCACGTAATTATAGGCTTTTAGAATAGATATGAACCTTAGATATAAACTATAGAAATGATCTAATCCAAGGATGGGGAACCTGTGGCCTCAAGGCCACACATGGCCCGTTAGGTCCTTAAGTGTGGCCCTTTGACTGAATCCAAACCTTGAGGAAATACATGGCCCTCTAGGTCCTCAAGCATGGCCCTTTGACTGAATCCAGATCTTGAGGCCATATGTGGTCGTCTAGGTCCTCAAGTGCAGCCCTTTGATTTTTTTGGATTCAGCCAAAGGGCCACACTTGAGGACCTAGAGGACCACAGGGCCTTGAGGCTGAAGGTTCCCCACCCCTGAATTCATCATTTTCATTTTATCAATAAGGAAACTGAGGCTTTGCATTCTTTTTTGAATAATTTGCCGATGTTACACAGTGAATAAGTTATAGAACTGGGACTCAGACTTACACCTCCTGTCTCATAGGCCAGTGCTTTCTTGCTTGGTCAGACCAAAAGCCTTAGCTTAGCTTTCCAATACTTTGTTCTAGCTTCTGAGCATCAGGTCTTCTTGCACTTTCAGCTCTCCTGAAAAAGGAAAATAGGGAGAAAAAAAAGTTGTCTCCAAAGTGAAACTGCAGCTCCTTATGACTAGTCCTAGATATCTCTTCCCCTGTTTGTCTCTATACCCTTCTTTTAACTTTGGAAAGAATTTGAGCGAAATATCCCCTATCTTTGCTAAACAATAGTTTGAAATAATGACTTCCTTTAGTCATAACTCTTAGGCCATAAACTTGGTTGTAATCCAAACAACTTTGGGTTAGAGCTCATATTTATTTGCATAGAACTTTAAAATCTTTAAAAATTAATGTTAAACAGTATGAGCTTTTAAACTGGTATTAAAAGTGGCTTAACCACAATTTTACATCCCATAATGATGCAAACCCCACATATTCTTACCCTTCACTGGCAAGGAAGAAATGGAGAAATATATGTAGCAGTTAAATACTGTCTATATTGGACTTAGCCACCTTTAATTATTTGAGAAAAGCCTCAGCTTTCTGTAAAAGTACTTCCACAAAAATCGATTTGTGAATTTTTCTCCACTACTTGCACTGAAGAAAAGAAATCAATTTATAGCATCTGTCTTTGAAAGTCCTGTTATGAACCATCTTTGTTGGAAGGGCACTTGGGATATAAGTGTCAAATCTTTAAACCCTGCTAGTATAATGTGATATGAAGATGATGTTTGCTTGTTTGAATTTGTTTTGTGGTCTCTTTTAGCTCAAATTCTGATCACCTTTCTATAAAATACATATTTAAAATGTAGATTTTAAAAATATATCCACCTAATTTGATTGCTTAGGTATGTCCTACTTGGTATCTTTAGTTGTTTCTGTTAAAAAAAAAAGATGTTCAGTGAAACAATATGATAGTGTTTAGAACATCAGACTTGCATAACGATAGCTAGCATTTATATAAAGTGATTTAAGATTTGCAATGTGCTTTACATATGTTTTTAACATTTATATCTCAGGGAATTTCTCCAACCATCTCACTAAGTGGTTTAGAACACGCTATGGTGGGATATACTGCTATAGAATGATATTGTTAGGTCAGTCAGGCAGAGTATACTTGCATTTGTTTTATTATAGCCTTGTTCATACTTTTGTAGTACAAGTGTGGTGTGATGGTGGGCTGGGATCCTCAGTTGTACATCTGCAGGTCATTGCTTTGATTGGGTTGGGTTGAATTCAGGATCAGGCTCTTAACATGGAGATCAGTCCAGAATAAGTAAACAGGCTGGGGGAAGGTGGAAGATGGGCAAAGTTGCAGAAGGGAAATCTAAGAAAACTTGAAGAACTAGAGCCAATAGGTTAATGACAATGACAGGAAATGGGGCAATTTGGAACATTAATTCATAATAATTATTTGTTCTCTGAGCAATTCTCCATGGATGTCCTTAAACTTTTGGAATAATTGTCTCATAGTTATGGTGTCTTTGAGGTTATCTACCAATGACCTTTAAATCTTCTTTATAAGGGCACTTTAAATCTTATTTTAAGAGTTGGAACTGCTTACTAGTCTGAGTCTAAACACAACTGATATCAAAGCATACAAAGCTTTTTGAAGTTCATTATAGAAATAACTACAAAGATTCCATGGAGATTTTATGAGTCAAATTCAATCTGTGATGAATTTGTTTGTGGAACTGAAATAAAATCTTGAATGCAACAACAACAACAACAACAACAACACCATATTCTCCACATTATGCATGTAATTCTCTTCAGAATAGGAATGTGAGTTGCATACTCCCAGTTAGAAAATGAAAGACTGTGAAAATGCAATTAGAAAGGGTACCTCCCAAATCATATATATTTATGAAGCTAGGAGCTTGTTACTGATGAAAAACATGATTCACTTCAGATATCTTCTCTGTCTTTATGAAGCTCTGAATTTATATTTCTTCAGCCTTTGATTAGAGTCTAGAAAGTATATTTCAATTATATTTAAAAACAAAAAAAGCTGCTGTTATATCTCCTTTAGTTTATTTGTTCTAATTATAATGGTTCCCATCTAGAATGATGAGTTGGTGACTGACTAATTAATAAACACTTTATTTTGATTACTATTAACTTGGCAGCTGAAAATAAAGTTGGTTTTCAAGATTTTAAAGGTGGCCCTACTGTCTTGAAATAGATCATTGTAGATTGGTTTAAGACAGCCTCCACTGAAAGGCAAATAATATATTAAAAGGTTAAGTAATATGAGCCATATTTTCTTGTAAATAGTTGTCGGTTTTTTCCTAATAGTGTGATTTAATAAGTGGGAAGAGAACATAATAGCACTGAACATCTGAGAAAGAAGAGTAGGAGAATCACATATGGGGAAAAAGGCAGGCATG